TGAGCAAGAAAGAAAACATAAGTGGGAAGAGAACACACGAAGAAGTCTTCCACGGCATGCACAGGCCCCGTCTTGACCCACTCCTCTGTTCGGGGGCATTTGGGTTGTTTCCAAACTTGGCTGTTAGCAGCGCTGCAGCAATCACAGGAGAGCAGGTGGGTCTGCTGTCTAACACGTGCTCTTGTGTCCCTTGGGTCAGCTCCTGCAAGTGCCATCCCTGGATGCACTTTCAGTGTTTTGAGAACCTCCACACGGCTTTCCATAGTGGCCATCACAGAAGATAAGCTCAGGCCATTTGCACCCACGTGGAAGGGAGCTGGAAGTGTGACACTAACCGAAATAAGCCAGAAGGAAAAAGGAAAAACAGAATGGGGTCACTGATGGGGCAGCATGGGGATACCAAAGGATGGGGGGAAAACAGACAAAACTCGCAAGCTGAGCACAGACTCCAGGCAAACAGCAACGGGTGGGGGGAGGGGTCAAGCAAGGGGAGGGGAGAGCACAAGGGACAGGTCACGGTGCCATGGGGGCGGAGAGCCCAGGGCCACACCTGACAGCGACAGTGCTGTAACTAAGGGGGGACAATGCGGGAGGCAATAAACAAAAAATCTTTTAGACACACACCAAAGAAGTGTGGCTGTTTTCTGGAACCCCGGCCTGAAAAGTTGCAAAGCAGATTCTGTGCCATGCAGAGGAACTTCCCAAAGCCTGGGCGAGGTCCCCGGAAGCACTCTCGCAGGTCTCCAACCACCCATGCCCAGAAGCCCAGAGAGTGGGCAGGGCATGTCCATCGGCCGGGGACACGCACAGGGCCTTCGCCTGCGGGCCGGGCCGGGCCACAGCGGTCAGACGGGGGTGCCGAGCCTCTCACCTGCCGCGGTGTCTCTTCTGGGCCACCTGCCCGTGTGCAGATCACCAGTCTCGAATGAGCCCCGGGTGGGGGCCACCTGCCCGTGTGCAGATCACCAGTCTCGAATGAGCCCCAGGTGAGGACAATCAGCTCACCTGATCACAAGGGAGGCTGAGGCAGCGCCCCCTGGCATCCAGGGGGGCCCACGGAATGGGTGAACCAGCCTGGGGCCCAGGGTAGGCTTGCTGATGGGTCTCCCTGTCGCCGCCACCCCACTTTGATGAAAATCCTCTTAGTACAAGGGCAGGCCCGGCCCACAGCGCTTCTGTCCGGCTGCAGAGCGGATGGAGAGTGGCCGCTCCAGGCCCGAGGCTCCTTCCCCAGGTCTGCACCCAGGCGGAGGCTGCTCTGAATAAGCCGCGAGTGTTCTCACAATTCCAGCCAGTTCCCCATCCACAGTCCTGTGTTTCCCACAAAAATATTTACAGCTTTGGACAGGAAAATTTCACATCGGGGGAAAAAAAGAATCAGGTAATCAGAGGCCTCCCGTGACGGGGCGTATGTGAACAGGGTATTTCGGGAACAGTTTCATGGTGATTAACTAACTTGCTTCATTTCAATGTAGTTGTCATTCTGAATTACCACTTAATGGGTGAAGTGTGCAGGCGATAACAATCAGCAGCGCAGGCGTGAGGAAGCGAGACAGTAAAAAAAATTAGCCCCTAAAGCAATTACTGCAGTGGATTTTTCAGATAGTTTTAATACTCTGTCTTTTGACCCCGGGGTATGGCTTGGGGAAAATATATTAATCTCAAGATAATAATCAGTCAATTTCAGTTCTTCAAAATCCACAATGATATTAAAGATTCCGACCTGACTCTTTTGGGTTGCAAACATTAATTAAGCATGATAATTGTGTGTCTCTGTGATATTTGGTGCTTTCTGAATGAGTCAGAGCTCAGGGGATAATTTGAATACAGCAGGCAGCAATTTGCTACATAAATTCACCCCAATGGCTATTAGCTCATTTTAAAATAGTCAAGACTTCTAAATTAGAGATTTTTTTTCATTAATACCAAGTTAATCACATCTACATAACCCTTCATTCACCCTTCCCGAACCCTCCACCAATAACTTCTGCAAGGCCTGTCGTGAACACAGGGCGGGAGCTTTAAAATGTGTATTTTTGGGCCCTCTCTGGTGGTGCAACAGGTCAAGGCACAGCACTGAGAAGCCAGCAGCAGCCACTTCCCAGCGAGTTTGACCCCCCGCCAGGGAGGTGACCACAGGGTGCAGCAGACCTCTCCTGTCTCACCCGCTGCTGCCCCCAACAGGGTACTCTGTAGATCTGCCTGTTCTGCTCCCCACTCTGTCTCTGGTGAATCCTCTCACCCTCCCCACACACACCTCTGGCCTGTACCCCAGTTCTGTCTGCATAAATAAACATATCTTTTTAAAAAAATGTATATTTTCATCATATTGTCCTTAAACTAGAGTTCTGCAGACTCTACCCAGATACTTATTTTCAGGTGTTTTATGAAATAGCAACAAGATTTGATATTTGTTTCTTAACTCTGCTTTTCCATCAAAAAATTTCAAGAGCCGGCCTCCGTGGTGGCACAGTGGGTTAAAGCACAGCACTGAGAAGCTAAGGCCACTTCCGCATGAGTTCGATCCCCGCCCGCCCCGGAGGTGACCACATGGCGAGCCAGACCTCCCCTGACCCGCCCGCTGCTCCCCTCAGCAGTGTACTTCATCGATCTGCCTGTTCTGCTCCCCACTCTGTCTCTGGTGAAGCCTCTCACCACCCCTGAGCCTCTGGCCTGTACCCCAGTTCTGTATGCACAAATAAATAAATCTTTAAAAAAAAAAATTTCAAGAGCCATATGAGGGTATATGTAGTTTTCCATGTAATACACCAGACAGACTGCATTACCTACACTTGTCACCCTCAATACTCTGACAGGCTAGTAATACACTACAGCACACGGCCGATCTGCCCAGGTAGATATTTAGTATTTCCCAACTTACTGACGGTATGGGGGGGCAGTTCAATTGCCCTGCTTTGGGGACTTAGAGGAGCAATTGGAAAATGAAATTAATGTTAAGAAAGTAAGCAGATGATTGGCCTGGGACTGCTCTGTAAAAGAGGGGACCCAGCAGCCGGCACCCTCTCAGACACGGGGGGGGGGCATCCCGCGGGGACCCGGACCCGCAGGCCTGCGGCTCCCTGAGCACCTCACTGTCCTTCCCTCTGCCGCTCTTGCCCCCCCGACTCCTGCCCTTTGGTCTCAGCAGCCACCGGCCTGGGAGCCGCTCCCACCGTGTGCTCCAAACACCCCAGGATCCGGGGCAGCACCCACGGGTCCCCAGTGTCCAAGGCAAAGCGTGTGTGTGAACTCACTTGTAGCTCACGCGCTGAGAGGTGAGAGCAGGGAATGCCGGGGACACACTCCCCGGGATAAATGACTCAGGCAAACACGAGGTTTTGCATTAAAAACGTAAAGCAGACCTTCTGGGGTCTCCCTGCACATACTCGGAGAGGGCGACGCGGGTTGACCCTACAGCCAGCAGCGGGGGTGGGGTGGGGTGAGGGAGCAACGCTGAGAAGGCAGATGTTGGACCTTTATTTAACTCGCCCTTGTTATATGAGGAAAGCTGCAGGTTAACTAGGCTCGCCAAGGCAGACAGCCCCGCAAAGCCCTGCTTCTCCTTGGCACTGGCAAAACGGTCACGTGCGGGAACAAGGACCACGCTGCACACCAGCTGGATGCCAACCTCACACGGTGTAGAGAGGCAAGTCCAGGGCGGGCTGCTGGCCACAAGCCACGGCCCGTCCGGTCGGCGGCAGGCTCCTCCACCACGCGGCACGGGGCAGGCGACCAGCTCCCCAGCCTGCCATCCCGGCGCCTCTGGCTTGCAAACATCCTTAGCTCTAGCACTTCTGTATTTGCCGCTTGGCTTTCTGCTGTGAACGAGACTTCTCGTCCTCCTCAACCACCTGCCGGTCTGTCTGCCTATCCGTATGTGCGTACAGCTTCCTGTTCTCTGCAAGTACTTATAATTTCTTACAATCCCTAATTACATCGTGCTCAAAGGATCCCCTGATTCACCAGTGAGAACCTCTTCAGGCTGGCTCATGTGACCTTTAACTGAGGGCTGGAGCGGGTCCCTGGTCCCTGCCACGTGCCACATTAAGCCTACCGCGCCTGCGTCACAGGGCCCAAGGAATGGCCGGGTGGCCGTGGGCGGGGTGAGCAGGCCAAGGACGCAGGGCAGCTCAGCATTTGAACCAGCGGGGGTTTTCAGCTGAGGATAAGCCTGGCCCTCTCCTCCCTGTGTTTTTCTTCACCAGACTGTCCGCCCTCAGCTTTGCACCACTGGCGGGCACAGAGGGAAGTGTCCTCCCCACCGACCCTCAGCCTTCCCGCCCACGTGAGGCAGTCCCTTCGGATGCCCACAGGGCCTACACACTGGGCTGGGCTTCAACACGCATGCTGGACGTTTCGGTGGGTCGTGACTGTCCCTCTCTGGTAATTGTGTACATAAGAGAAAGACATCAAGTTTTAACTCACTTGTTGGAAGGACACTACGGGACCTCCCTGGTGGCGCAATGGGTTAGGACGCAGCACTGCAAGCCAGCTGCAGATGCTACAGTGCGGGTTTGATCCCCACCTGGAGCTGACCCACATGGCGCGGCAGACCTCTCCTGACCACCCGCTGCTCCCCTCAGCAGTGGACTTCATCAACCTGCCGGTTCTGCTCCCCGCTCTGTCTCTGGTGAAGCCTCTCACCACCCTGCACCTCTGGCCTGTGCCCCAGTTCTGTATGCATCAATAAATAAATCATTTTTAAGAAAAATAAGGACATTATGAGAGAAGAGTGGCTCTGAGTTTGCATCCGACTCCATCTAACTAGTCTGATATGACTCATGCTTTTCCCATTTCTAGTAAAAGAAGGAAAACAAGTGTTTTTCCATGGCATATTCCTGAACTCTCAAACTTAGCAGGCAATGTGAAAATGTGGCTGAAAGGTAAATCAGTAAGATACGGAAACAAACTCTCCAAACAGGAGGCCCCTGCTGACGATCACAACGCCCCTCTGGGGTGCACTGCACCTCCCCCCCCCCCCCCCCCCCCCCCCGTCTTACCTCTGAGGCGATGGAGGTGAAGCTGCCGCTGAAGTGCAGGTGCTTGCGGACCTCGCTGCGGTTGGCCGTCCGCAGCCAGTCCCCGAGGGCCTGGGCCTCGCCGGCCGAGAGGTTGGCGTGGCTCTGATTGCGCAGGAGCTCGGCCAGGTCCCAGTGGTACGTGGGCGTGGCCCCTACCAGCGCAATGAGGATGGCCTCCGTGGCCACGTAGAGCTGAAAAGCAAGCACAGAACCACCTGAGCCGGAGGGGCAGGCGGCGGGCGCAGCAGGCAGCTTCTGGCCTTCGCGAGCCCCAGAAACCAGACGCATGCGGGACAAAGCAGCCAAAGGAAGCTTCACCACCGCCAGCGACAGCCACCGGCGGCCCCAGCTGAGAAGCCCCCTGTACCGTTCGCAAGGATTTTCCTTCCGTTTCTGAGCTTCTGCTTTTGCCCTCTGATGTACAGAACAATGCGCCCAGGTGACTGGACCCTGGCACTGAAGACTGGGTTCAGAGGAACATTCCAGCTGTCTGTGTACACCCTGTGTACACCCAGTACTACACCCTGTGCTCAGTCAGCCAGCTGTCACCAGGGCCAGGGGGCTCTTGGTCTTGGCTCACATACCAAACAAGACTTTCAGTGGCACCGATGATTGACTGACTGACTGACAGGCGGAATGCTTCATTAAAGCAGGGAAACATATTACGTACCTGAGTAAGAACTATTCCTAAAATGGAGTATATAACTAGAAATAAGAATTTCAATAAATTCAAAATCCCAAGGGTAGACAGTCCCTTCATGACCTCTAGTTGTACTACATCATGGCTTAATCTAAACAATTGTCCTGCCCCACCCTAAAGCAAATTCATTCAAGAAATATTTATTGCGCACATATTCACAACTGGATTTATTCCATGCTTATATGGACAGTTAATTGATGGTAAAGGAGCCAAGAGTGTCACTGGAGGAAGTAAAATCTCTTAAACAAATGATGTTGGGAAAACTGGACAACCATAAGCAAAAAATGGAACTAGATAACTCTCTTGCCCATACACAAAAACAAGCCCAGAATGAATTAAAGAAGTGGTTGCAAAACTGACATAAAAAACCATATACAGGCCCTTGCTGGTGACACAGCGAGTTAAAGCACAGCACTAAGAAGTGAAAGCCACTTCAGCATGAGTTCGATCCCTGCCCTGGAGGTGACCACATGCAGATCTCTCCTGGCCTGTCTGCTGCTCCCCTCAGCAGTATACTTCATCAGTCAGCCTGTTCTGCTCCCCACTCTGTCAATGTGTTGTCTCTCTCACCACTCCTGCACCTCTGTCCTGTACCCCAGTTCTGTGTCTCTCTTACCACCCCTGCACCTCTGTCCTGTACCCCAGTTCTGTGTCTCTCTCACCACCCCTGCACCTCTGTCCTATACCCCAGTTCTGTGTCTCTCTCACCACCCCTGCACCTGTTCTGTACCCCAGTTCTGTGTCTCTCTCACCACCCCTGCACCTCTGTCCTGTACCCCAGTTCTGTACACACAAATAAATAAATCTTAAAAAAATATATACAGAATATTTCATCACTTTTCCAACAACATAATATAACTGCCTTGGAGTACTATGCAGCTGTAAAAAAGGGTGAATGCTTGTCATCTATGACAATATGGATGGGCTGGAGAGGATTATGCTAAGCAAAATAAGAAGGAGGAAGACAAATGTCAGACATTTTCACTCATGTGGAATAAAGAGAAACAAAATAACGGGTTTTAGACTAAAAAAAAATAAGTCCTAGAAATCTGACTATAAAGTTGAGGCTACCAGAAAGGGAGGGGTAAAGAGCAAAGTGTATAGGGAGTCCAGAAGCTAGATGGCGGAGGACTAGGGGTGCCCTGGTGGTGGGTGTGACATGGTCACACACGTGACGAGGTGTGATCCTGTAACTCCGTTATATACAGTGCTGTAAACCAGAGCTAGCACAACAAACATTTAGGTTTCTAAGCTTTTGAGCCCTATGCATGCTTTTCAGGCTATGAATGTCCAGTCACATTAGCTCTCATTGTTGGATGGTTATTTCAAGCCTAAAACTTATTGGGGAAACATAGAATTACTCTGTTTTCTATTAGCTTAGAAGTTAATGTCTTAAAATATGTTTACATAGAACAACTATTTTAAAAATACAAAGCATGTGATTTCTTTACAGCACGCACTCTAATTCCCCCACTGAGGAGATGCTTTGACTGAGGCACACACAGGTCTAAGAACTCGCCAACAGCTCTCTGCTCATCAGCAACCTCCAGTGCCTTCCACACCAGTCTGCAGAGACATACTCGACTGTTCGGTGGATAAGCTAAGAGCCAAAGGCGCAGTAATTTATCACAAAGAGATGATGTTATTACTGCCAAGGAAGGAGGAAAGAAATCATGATATTGCGAACATCACAAAAGGGAGCTAATGTAAAGCCCAAGATGTGATGTTTCCACCCTGGTTAAGACTGTGAGGAGGTCAGGCAGTGCCCATCTATTTTGGTCAAATGACTGTGGACCTCTTTAGATGCAGACCTGCCACAGGTCAGCCGTGGGTGTGATTCATTGCAAAATGCCCAGGAAAACACATGTGCAGACTTACACTGTTTCCTGGGTGCTACTTACATCCCAGTAAGGAAGTTTTAGAAAAGGAGGCTATCAGCTTAGACAACTTAAAACCTTACCAATCACAGGTTTAGCAGCAACTACTATTATTACAAAGCTACTAGCCCGTGGTTTTTTTTTTTTTAAGATTTATTTTATTTGTACATACAGAACTGGGGTACAGGCCAGAGGCTCAGGGGCGGCGAGAGGCTTCACCAGAGACAGAGCGGGGAGCAGAACAGGCAGAGTGACGAAGTACACTGCTGAGGGGAGCAGCGGGCGGGCCAGGAGAGGTCTGCCGCGCCATATGGTCACCTCCGGGGCAGGTGGGGATCGAACTCATGCGGAAGTGGCTTTAGCTTGTCAGTGCTGTGCTTTAACCCGCTGTGCCACCAGGGAGGGCTGCCCGTGTTTTAATAGTGGCGACTCCTGATTATAAACTGCTGGAGTTTAACTGGAGACTAAAGAAAAGGAAATAGGGGGGCACTGGGGATGGCACGGACAGACATTCTGGTGAGCTCAGCCCCTCCACAACGGCCAAGCAGGCTGGCTGAGTCATGTTCTCTGGAAAGGCGCTCTTTTCTGCTTTGTGCCTACCATGACTTCACCTGGAGACCTGCTTTTAGCCTGGGAGTGTCTGAACCTTTCCATCCACCAAGATGCAGCCCCACCGGCCGCCTCCCGTCAGCCTCCTCCTCTCCTGCTGGTGCCCAGGCCATGGGCCGCCCAGCCCTGCCTTCCAGCACCGGGCATTTTCTCCAGCGTTGCTTCATGTGTTTGTCTTGTCTCTCCGATGGGACGAACCCCTCCCCAGCCCCCAGGGCAAGTCCTTGTCTGAGTCACCTGCGGGCCGCACAGCACCTAACTCAGGGCGCAGCATCCACAGCAGACACTTCTGCCCTGGGGGCTGCGTGCCTGCTCCACGTGCTTGCTGAGTGCGTGTCAAACGCACCCTATCTTCATCTAGATTGTTCTAGGACAAGCAATCTTCCTGGTAGAAGATGGAAAGTGCGAAGGGGGGGGTGTCGGGGGGGCTTCTTTCCTCGCGGTTCCTAGTCATCGGACAACTGCACTCTGTACTGAGCAGCTGAAAGAGAGACAAGGCGTGCCCATTGCTGTGTACTCATTCACAGCCGAGGTAGCAGTGAAACCCGCCAGGCGGCATATCTGCGGCATCAGCATGAGACTCGGCAATCTCGAATCTTCTCTGCCCCGCCCGCCATGCGGCCAGCCCCACCCCTGCACATGTGTGCACACAGTCGCGGGCCCTGGACGGCGCCAGGGCGTGGGCTGTGCGCGCGCGTCATGGTCACAGCGCGGCCGCTTCCCCTCTCCGGCGCACCTGCTCTCGCGCTTGAGTCCGGCCCTCTTCAGCTGCTGGCACGTGGACCAGGCACCACGAGGTGCGGGCACAGTGCTTAAGGTCTGCACACCATGTGAGGTCGCCCCCCCCCCACTTCCCCAAAGCCACCCACCGGATGACATGTCGCAAGAAGTCGGAGATGGCTGAGCAGATGCCCAGGGCAGGGCGAACCATCTCCACACGGAGCCAGGGTTTCCGGGGCGCTCCTCCCGTGCCGCAAAGCCACATACCTCCCACCCTGTCTCTGTCCCCCCAGGACAAATATTCTTCTCCTGCTATTACGCCACAGCTCCACAGACACATTCACCCACAAAGTCTTGTCTAATGAATCGGACCCAGCAGCAGATGGGTGTTAAAGCCACAGCAGAAACCACCGTCCATTCGCCTCCGGAGTGGCACTCACAGCGGCCCAAAGAAGTCATTATCTTCTCTGGTGCTCCCTCCAGGGAAGGAGGGTGAGCGCCACAGATGGCCAGATTTTCTTCCCCTTTCAATGTAATTATAATTAGAAAAAATGACGAAAATGCACTAGGGGACTCAGATTTTAAAAGTTTCCAAAAGTGCAGGTTTTAAGAGTAATTTCCTATTAACACCATTACAAGCTTTTATAATGTTCAGGAAGCGAAGCATCTTCCATAAATTATCTCATCACAACATCTTATGCTGTGAAGTCACAGTAAGTGTGATGTTTCTGTTGTAAAGTAGGAAAAATGGGCTGCAGGGTGATTAAGTGACTCATTCAAGATTATGTAAACACTAATGGAAAAACCAGAATGAGACTGGGGGGGGGGCACCTGACTTTGGGGCCAGAGCTCTCTCCAGAGGACAGAAAATGGGGAGAAGTCAAAGATGACCTTATTGTGCCATTCCTGTTAGATTATTTTTTAAATTTATTTTTATTTACTTATGCATACAAGAACTGGGTGCAGGCCAGTGGTGCTGGAGGTGAGAGGATTCACCAGAGACAGAGTGGGGAGCAGAACAGGCAGATCGACAAAGTACACTGCTGAGGGGAGCAGCGGGCGGGTCAGGAGAGGTCTGCCGCGCCATGTGGTCACCTCCGGGACAGGCGGGAATCGAACTCATGCAGAAGTGGCTTAAGTTTCTTTGTGCTGTGCTTTAAGCCGCTGCACCACCAGGGAGGGCCAAATTCCAAGTTTTTAATGCTGTGTCATCTCCTGAAGGGAAGAAACCCTCACACTTCTATATCCCTTCAAGAAACCCAATAGGCCACTCTGGATATACCAGCCTATGATACATTTTGCTAGTTAATTCCTCGCAGAATGGCAAGCAAAATAAATAATAAATAATGATAATGGTGGTGGGTTAAACACCATAATTCTGGGACCTGATTGTGATCTCAACCAACCACTGCTTAAGACACTGGCAAGTTATTTGCTCTGCGCCCGTTCTCACTCCCTCCCTCCTTCATAAAATGGGAATACCAGCACCTGGTAAACTTCCTTCTGTTACGACAGTTTAATTTTTAACAAACTGTAGCGAGTACCAACTCTTCACACACATCTTATAAACCTCCGTGATAATAATGGTGGATAAGAAACAATCATTTCCTTCAAGGCACATCCACAGATTCCGGCGAGGACAACAAATGTCGCCCAAGCTGTGACTACAAGGCAGAGCCTGGCCAGTGCCACATTAATCACAGTAGAAGCGGAGTTAATGAGAGCGCAGAAAATAGATGTGAATTCCAAACAAGAGAGTCAAAAGAATTTGCAAATGTGTCACCTGAGCTAGGTAACAAAAGACCGACCGCTGGGGGGGGGGGGTTAATCAAAACAAAAATCTGAAAAGGGAAAGACACAGTCTTAGGGGTTGTGAAAAATCTGATAGACTTATCACAGCTTTTCTCAAACTTCAGTCATGTGAGAACCCCTTCCAAGAGTTTGACATGCCCTAAAGACAGACAGTTTCTCTGTCTTCTATTTACTCAATCATCTTCCTTTAAGTTGATTCAAATTTTTTAACTTAACTCACGGAGGAATAAAGCTTTGTATCAACACAGCCATGGCCTGCCAGATGTAGCTATTAAAATAAACCCCACGTAAGCACGCGAAGTGCTGGCTGGTGTGTGTTTAGCAAGGGCGGGCTGGAGAGATACTTGCAGCCGGGCCTGGGGAGGGGCCTGACGGCAGAGCAGCCACCTCTGAGCACCTTGTGGCGGCAGGAACACGGGGGTGTGGGCACAGTGCGGCCACAGCTGTCCAGCCTCCCCGGTGACTCTGGTTGGGCCCGGGGAGGTGCTTAGTTCCACGATGAAAAGCCTTTGCTTAATAAAGGCTGGAGGCCTGAGAAGGACATAGCCCCAAGTCAGTTTGGATGCTCCCCACGCCCCCGGGACCCTCCCCGCCCCCACAGACAGTCAGGGACCCATCCCTGACTGTAGACATAGGGCTTGACACCAGACACAAGGTCAACAGGTTACGGGGTCTGTGGACCAGCTCCCACCGCCGAATACGGTCAAAGCCCCATCAGCAACTATTCACCAGTTACATAGAAAATCCATACACAGACAGGCACGCTGCACACACACACACACACACACACGCACACACCCCTCTAGAGGAGAGTTCTACTGGTTGCTCCTCTGGCTGAATTGTGACTGACACAACCTTAAACAAACCTGGCAAAATCTTCACATGTATTAAATCTGGAAGTAGGTGCATGCGTGTTTGTGAGATTACGCTCTGCCTTCCACTTGAAATGTTGCATAATTGAAAAGGAAACTTTATGCAAAAATGAATAATAAATACAATGCTAACAAAAGAATGTTATTTAATTCTAACTAGGTGATGTTTTTGACCAAAGTCTGAACCTTTTGTAATTCTTTAATTCTCGTTTATTCCTTTTGGTAAAATGTCTGGCGAATGTTTTGAGAAGAAGCAGTGCCAGATGAGATTTTCTTTTTAGGAAAACAGAAGGATTCAAGAAGAATCAAAAAGGGACCCCTCTTACTTTATAAGTTAATGTTAATACTTTTCCCACATACCACCTAAATCTACACATTTAGAGTTGGAATGTCAAAGAAGCAAAAAGACAGATTAAAAATAATCTTCTTTTCTCGGTCACATAGTACCAAGAAAAGTTATAAGAGGCTACTCTTGCCAAGAGGACATGCAGACAGCGCCCTCGGACACCATGGAAAACATAATGGCCAGTGAGGACTAAGAAGTAATTTTGAAGCCCGACGAAAGGATGCCCGGGAAGTTTGCATCACACGCTACATGTGCTGATCACACAGTGGCTTGACGAAAGGGAGACCTCTGTTTTATCCATAAGCAGGAACAAAGAATACCTGAGAGAGCGAGCAGGGGAAATCTGGGCTGAGAAAAGAGGCCGTCACCTGGGAAAAGAAAAGGCAGAAGCCGGGCCCTCCCTGGTGACCGAAGGGGGAAAGCGCAGCACTGCAAGCCAGACACAGCCGCTTCATTGCGAGTAGGATCCCCGGAGGTGACCCACAGGGCGCGGCAGACCTCTCCTGTCTCCCTCTCTGCGCCCCTCAGCAGTGTGCTTTGCCAGTCTGTCTATTCTGCTCCCCACTCTGTCTCTGGGGAATCTTCTCACCACCCCTTCACCTCTGGTCTGTCCCCAGTTCTGTATACATAAATAAATAAATCTTTTAAAAAAAGAAAAAGGCAGAAGCCAGAGCACATCAATAGCTTGGGCTGTGTGGGTCTAGACCATGAAAAACCCACCTCCATTTACAATAAACATGAAGTGAATAAGCAAACGACGGAGCTGCAAAGGCTGAAACACCGCACGACTAAAATCATGAGATCACTCATTTATGAGCCCAGCCAGGTACTCACACTGTGGAAACAATGTCAGGTTAAACACACCTTCTGCAGAAAGGCTCAGTGTGCTCTCTGGATGACACAGCACATGAATGCAGATGCCAGCTTCTGGGTTTCTAGTTGCTGGGCGCCCTCCCTCTGGCTCTGGTGAGGAACCACCCTAACTTCCCGAAAGCCTCAGCGTCCACACTGGCACAACCCTCTAACTGCCCGGCATGGCGTAACATGAAGAAATCCTGAACTTGCAACACATGTAGACTGGACCCTCAAGATGCAGAGTCCCGGGGCCCAGCGAGGACTGAGCACAGAGCAGTTGGCGCTCACAGGCGGCGGCCTGGTCCGAGTCCCAGGCTCTGCCTGCCCTGTTCTCACCGCCCGCCTTCACATGTTCTGTGCTGTCTGGAAGCCATGTCCAGCAGCTGGGCGTGGTCTGAGCGGACACACTGCTGAAGACCTGGGTGCTGCGGACGCGGCAGGCAGCTTCCAGGGCACATCCCAACCTTGACAGCTCCCTGAAGCCTCCTGGCCGCTGACTGTCCTAAGCCCCCAGGATGGGATCCGAGGGTCTGACACATTTGTAGCGTCCTCTGCTTCACGCCAGGGGGCAGTGTCTGTCTGTGGACAGCGCAGCTTTCCTGAGGGTGACCAGGGGCAAGGGTGGAGAAGGCCTCTTGGCTCAGGGCACCCTGCAAAGCCCTCTAAAGGGAAGGAAGGAACACCAGGCATGGGTTCCTAAGGTTACCTAAGCCCCTCTGCAGAGCCAAGTTCCAGCATGTCGTCTTGGAGCAGACAGAACTACCTGTGAGGACGGAGGACATGAGATTTGCTCAGACCAGCAGACGTCTGACCGGCCACATGTCTCGAAGTCACGAGGAAGAAGCTGTTCCCAACATCTCAGGCCCCGTGATGGCTTGACTCCTGGTTGTGCTGGAGAGCCCAGTGAGGTCTGGCGCCTGGGGTAAGAAAGGGTCCTCGCTCTGCTTATGGGTGAGAGGTCAGAAGACCTGGGTCTCCACAGCAGCGACGCCCCATCCTTGTGGAGTGTGGCAGGAACCTTCCGGAGAGGCTGGGGCATGGGACACATGCCGTGGGTAAGTGAGTGGTGATGGTAAACAGCGCTGAGTTTAATGACCCCCCTGCACGAAGCTCACCCTCCCTCACCTCCTGACGGTGAAATGACCACAGTCCACAGCGAAGAGGGATGCAGGGAATTGCAGTCAGAGTGCAGTGAGATGCCAGCCGTGAGCTTGGTTAGCACACAAAGCTGGCTAGGTCGTTCTTCTGACCGGCTTTTCTTTCTTTAGTTCAACACAGAAAAGCAAAACAAATGAGACTGATGAATTCACCAGCACAACAAACAAG